ACATTGCACAAAGGGTCCAGTTTCTCTTCATCCTTGCCAGCACACATGCTGTGCGCAGGCTGCTCCAGGAACAAGTATATAACTACCTGCCACATGCTGGGGGGGAAGGGAAGCTGCTATTGTACGAATAGCTGAAATTTATCAAAATTAACCACAAGTTACTGTCTAATTCTTCCCTTGATAGTTGCAAACCTTCAACAAAATATAGAGTTCCAAATAGTTCCATCAAATAGAGTCTGCTAGTGCAATTATTGTGTAGGTGGGGAGACAGATTCCCGGTACTTCCTACTCCAACATCTTCCCAGAATTGAGAGTAATAGCCAAAAACCATATAATCCAATCCTAATTTTGATTTTATGAAATGTCGCTAATCTAATTTTATTTCCAAGTTTGAGTTCTCTCTTAGCTTAACTTCAGTCTTTCTTTTAGCCTTTCTACTTCTCTGCCCTTAACAACCTGGAAACTGTTGTTGACAGCTGGAATAACTATATCTTCATCAACTTCCAGAATCTTCATAGTGGTGGTCAGGCGTTCAGAAAGCCAAATATATAAGGGTGAAAAAATAGTTTAATAAGTTAGTGTGTAAACTGGTTTACATGAGCAGAGTTTTCTCTTTTTTAATATATAGTCATGGCTTAAAGGATTGTGCTTGTCTTGAATGTTAGCTTTGGCAGTATTTTGAGAATCTAGACATACAGTTTATCTATAATGAACTCAGGGAATTGGACTCAATAAGAGTAAATATAAAATCAAAGGGAAAAATCTAAACATTGAAGATAGTCACCTCCACAAACCATTAGGAAACTGACTTACCGTATCTTTTGGTTTTATCTTAGAAGCTTTTGTTTTATCTTAAGAAAGTGGCTACTCTTGTCTAAAAGTAAGTCCCTCCTCTTGGTAGTCAAGTAAAATACTTGACTACCAAGGGGAGGGAAGGGAGCAGGGTAGTTTTGGAGATACATGGCAATCGAAAGACTACCAATCCTCTTACCCTCACAAATGGACTCCTATTTAGAAAATTTAAACCCTGCATTTTCTTATTTCTGGTTATGGTCATTTCTGCATAAATAAGACCCTTTATAACATTTTTTAATAAACCTTTATGGTAAGAATTTCTAGCAGGAGAATACTTTAATAAACCCTTTAAAAACTTATATTAAAAATTCACTGTTCCTACTGTTCTGTTATTGTCAATGCTAAAATTTGTTTTTTTAAGGGAACAACATGTACATTCTCTAGAATTCAATTTTATTGGTAGATAGTTATCTAATTATGCACTATTAGGATAAGGAATATTTTTAAATATTTTTTTTCTCCATAAGTTTACAATATAATTATGACATTGTGTTACTAAATATGTTCTCGTTGTATAATCCTTATATTGAAAATTGCTGTATTCCACCCATTTGTATTTGGTATTGTTATCTTCTATATATATTAAAAGCCTAATTTACCAAACAAACAAACAACCAGTCATCCGGTCGCTATGATGCATACTGACCGCCAGGGGCAGACACTCAACACAGGAGCTGCCCCCTGCTGGTCAATGCACCTCCCACAGTGGGGGCACTGCTCATTAACTGATGGGTGCCAGATGCAGGGTTCATAGCTGTCAAGCGCCGCTATGGGGGTACAAACATCTCCTGATCAGGACCAATGAGGCACCAGCCCGCGACAGGCGCAGTGGAGCCGGGATAAGTGGGAACAGCAGGCAGGAGTGGCAGGTGGTGTTGGACTGACTGTTGGTTTCGGCCCAATCCCCGCATGCTACTCTGAGGGACCCCAACCGGTATATGAGTTTGTGCACGGGGCCTCTAGTTCATTGAAAAATGTTTAATTTCTGGTTCTGAATAACATTAGTACCACTTGCCAATTTTAGATGGAATTCATGCTATTCCCTTGGGTCTGATATAAACTCTAAAATAGCTAAAGCATTAGAAATTTTGGCACTCAAGGCCCAAAGTTATTTTTACTCTAAGCCTACTTAATATGATGAGTCCAGGAGGCTTTCAGCCAAGAGACTTGTTATGATGCTTTTCTTCTTCTGGGACAAACTCAAGGCCCTTGGGAAAGATTTGAGGGATAGATTACTGAAAAAGACTGTCACCAAAATCCCATATCCATTCACATTATTCACTAGTCAGAAAGAAACTTGCAGATGGACAAAAAGTGAGAGAATATTCACAGCTGAATTCCCTATCCAGGAAAAATGATTGAAAAATGAATCAAAATTTTTTAAAGTATTTATTTATAAGATATAAATTACTTTTAAAAGTCTGGTGAATTAACAATATAGTTTATTCCCATAGTTGGAGTTGATCCCTATATTTTACAAAAATAATTTAGCGAGCTGCATCTGTGTAGGGAAATGTATTTAGAATGGAATTATATTTCATTTACTGGTACAAATGTATTATTTTGGACAGATTTTTCTTTTGAACAGAATCAAAAAGCTTTCCTTATGCTTTTATATTTATGAAATGGTTTGCTTTGACTTCATGAATATTCTAGTGACTTAATTAGAAGGATCCTGAGATTTGGAGTCGGAGGCTCTTGATTTCAGTCTGTCATTTACAAGCAGAAGCAGGTTACTAAACTGCTCTTATTCCCCAAGTTTCTTTAGCTTGGAAATATGAACCCTTTATTATAGGTAGTTAGAGGAATTAATGAAAATATAAATATGTCTTAACAGGTGACTTATCATAAACATCAGCCATCAAGAATCTTTCCTTTGGAATGGTAATCACCACATTTTCAAGACAGTTGTTATAAATGGGGGAGAGAGGGAGCTGCTATGCAGGGGGATTTTGTGGGGTTGGAGAGCTTAACAATACTGTTAATGTTCTATTAGATGTGTGCACTCATTTTGTATATTTTTCTATATCTTCAGTTTTTTAATTGTTAAAAAACAAAGTATTTTCTTATGAAATACATAAAACTTTCCCATGAACTATATCTATCATTTTTCTGTCAAAGGACAGTGCTGAATAGGACACTCTGAAATGTATGCTTCATAATTCTTAGCTGGCTTGGGACCTGCTTGTAAGAACATCATTTCCTTTCTTGCCATTCTAGTTGTGTTCCATTGCACAGAGTATTAAATTTCAGTTGTGTGTATTGAGTAGTGCAGAGATCACAATCTGTCTCGGGACTGAACCTGTCTCTTAGAAGTAGTGCTTGTTCCACACAACATTGGCCTTCATGGTGACTTAAGGGCTCAAAAATCAAGCAATGTTGCCGCCCCCGACTTGCATCTCTGCATGACAGCACTGAGTTTGCGTTATCAGCTGTGCCCTTTGGCTGGAGCACGTGCTCCAGAGTTCTCTATGCTCCACTGACGCTGATGTCAGATGCATTTGCCATCATGTTTATATTACCTGTTTGTCTCCTATGGGCAATTTAGTTGATAACTGTTGGAGAAATTATATTCAATGGATGTCACAGCCTTCTGTTGATATGTTGCTGTTATATTTTAATTTGATGTCACATATTTTCAATACTTTGTAGAGCACAATTACTTGCACTTTATCAACAAATGTATGGCATAATGTACTCTTTTTGCTTGTCAACTCCTCCTCTTATACACAAACATGTTACCAATTAAACATTTCTCAAATCTAGTTCTTCCTGTCCAACCTTACTGCTACTGCTCTACCTGAGGCCCTCCTAGTCTCTCGCCTGGAATTTAATTGCTCCCTAACGGTGCTCCTTGCCTCCAGTCACATTCCTTTCCGTTCATCCGGAAGTGTATTGCTAGAACAATGTATCAAAATACAGATCTCATCTCATCACCCTGCTGTCTCAAATTCTACGTTTCTCCATCTTCTTTGGCACAGGTCAGCAAAAATGTCCTTAAAGGTCTAGATGTAAATATTTTTGGCTCTTGCCACGCGTAATTGACTCTGCATGTTGCATTGAGCACAAAAGCAACCATAGACAACATATAAACAAGTAGGCATGGCTGTGTTCCAATAAAACTTATTCATAAAACCAGCCTCTGTTGTAGGGTTAACACCCCTGTTCTGTGATATAAAAGGCTCTCCTTGTCTTCCCTCCCATCTCATTTACCATTTTCCTATCCTGTCTCCTGCTGTTTCTCAAAAGCACCTTTCAAATTCTTAAACTCTTTTGAGCACAACATATTTCTATACCCCATTCTTTTCATTTAAGCTGTTTTTTCACAAATAGCAAAATATTCTAATATAGTTTATAAAATGTTAATTCTCAAATGGTGGTCTTATATATAAATATATCTTTATAAATGCATTTTGAAGTTATATTAAAAACAGTTTTAATAGGTCTTTTATTAAAACTGTGAGCCTTGATACAATCTATGAATTTGAATAATATCAATACATTTTTTTAAAAATCTCAGAATATGGTCACTGGTAGGAGAATACTTTAATTTCAGTCTTATCAACTATTTGAATCAAGGTTTATTGAGAGGACAATTTTAGGATAGTCAATAGGAATTGAATGCATGAACTCATGTTGTGTCCTCTCTTCATCACAATTACTCCTTTCCAATACAGATAAGAAAACAGAAAATATTTGGTTTTAGGATGTTTCTTGACTGAAGTATTGCACTTCAAATTGCTGTTTAAATTCTAGTAGGTCACACTTCACATGTTTCCATATGTTGAGAAATAGCACCTCTTGAAAATATGTTGTTAAATATGTGGGTTTGCCTCATTACTAAGTTCCAGTTATTTAGGCTATTGCTGATTGGTACAGTGTTGGGTAGTAAACAAAACCTTTTATAATAAAAAAATGGAAAAACTTAATTCTTGCATCATATTAGTGAAAAATATGATTTGATTACTAAGGTGAGAAAGCAGGTTGTTAGAGCTCTATGATGTAATGTTGTTAAAATGTGGATGGATATAATATTGATTATTATAAAGTTCTCTGTATTTTCTGATATTCACATATCAATGCATTAATTTAAAGTTCCATCTATTAAAACTAACCCATAAATGTCTTTTATGGTTGAATTTTAGCCACCAGCTGAACAGGCCAAAGCCAGACTACAGTTGGTTCTTGAAGCTGCTGGTAAGTATTGATAACTAACTATAAATGAAAAAGCTTAAAATAAATCCTAGCATGCTTACAGGTGGGTCAAAAACAAATAAACAAAACACTTTGTCCTAACCGACCAGTTCGGCTCAATGGATAGAGCCTGTGGACTGAAGGGTCCCAGGTTCGATTCCAGTCAAGGGCATGTACCTGGGTTGCAGGCACACACCCAGCAGGGAGTGTTCAGTAGGCAGCTGATAGATGTTTCTCTCTCATCGATATTTCTAACTCTCTATCTCTCTCCTTTCCTCTCTGTAAAAAAAATATTAAAAAAAAACACACACAACACACTTATTTTATTTATTCTCACAAATTTTTGAGATCTAGATTGTATGTGTGACTGTATTTTACCTAGAATATTATTGTTGCAGTGTAATGTTAAAAGGTCATTCTTTACCTTTTTATTTATAAATTTGTTTTAATTTGGTGAAGTTTAATTTATTGATCTTTGTCTTTTATGGATGGTACTTTTGGTAGCATGTTTAAGAATTTTTTTTTTTTTGGCTAACCTCACATCATGAAGATTTTCTCCTACATTTTCTTCTACAAGTTTTATTTTTACATTTTAGATTTAAGATTATGATCATTTTAATTTAACTTTTGCATAAGATGTGAGTTTTAGATTGATGTTTTCATTGAGCCAAAAGAAACAAGGTAAATGGAATTTTATAATTCCTCCAATTACATTTTACTAATTCATTAGTCAGTTTGTTCTGGATACCACCTAATCTTAAAATAGCATGTGTTTTATTTATTAATTATACAATAATGCTATGACTTTGATTTTAAATATAATACGCAGTCATTAAATACTTAATCTTTTTAAAAATATACAAACCCATGACATCTTTTCTAAGTACTGAAATTTTATTCTGAATCTTAATGTGCTCTTTAAAATGATGTAACTTTTTCAAGTAGTAAGTTGTCAGAATCAAGCATGAGGTATGGTTAGAATGACATCACTGTTAAAAGTAATTTCAGACTACCAAATGACAGTAGTTATATATTTGTATACCTTGACTGAGAAAATACACTGAGTGATCAGATTATTTTGATCTCTGAACGCATAACAATCTGGCCACTCAGTGTATATCCTGTATAATAAAAAGCTAATATGCAAATTGTACCCTCGACCAGGAGTTCAACCAGCAGGCAGGCCAGCCAACCGCCCATGTCCCCTGTCCCTGACCAGGCTGGCTGGACCCCACCCATGCATGAATTCATGCACCTGGTTTCACACACACACACATACACACACACACACACACACACACACACACACACACAGTGGCCAGATTATTATGAGTTCAGAGATCATAATAATCTGTCCACTCGGTATATATATATATATATATATATATATATATATATATATATATACTTATGATTTAAAGATGTCTTGAATTTACTCCTTGCATTCCTACCCAAAATGTTCACCTTCCAAAGTTTGTAACACCAGTATAAACAATATGCTAGTTAAGGTGACAAGTCGTCCCACGTTTGGCGGGACAGTCCTGATTTTTAACAATTTGCCCCGTGTCTCACTGCGTTTTAAAAAAGTCCAAAAGATTTAAAAGATTCTTTCCAAAAATCGGGACTTTTTTAAAATGCCGCTGGACAAATTGTTGAAAATCTGGTCACCTTTTGCTAGCTTCATAAATCACTAATAGCAATTACCATACAGGGATAAAAATTGGTAAGTATTTTGACTATGAGTCTCTTTAGCCCTCCATATTACTTTAAAAGTCACTTACATTTTATGTATTAACCTTATTCATTTTATTTTTAGTTATGTAGAAAATGATATATTAAAACATTGTTTGCTATAGTGTTTTAAATGGTAGGATAAAGCTAATTAATGTAATTTCTATATTTTATATAATATACATTCATTCCTTAGTTGCATTTTGTTTTGAAAAATATATGTTTTAGTTCATAAATTGAGTATTAAAAAAACTTTTGCTTTAAAGGAATGTATTTATGATGCTTAATCTAGAAAATATTTTTTCATCAATACAACGATAAAGAATTTCATTTCATATTTTTATACAGTTTACTTTGATGTCTTGATCTTTTAATATGATTTTGAAGCATATTATAATACAAATCTGACAGTCCAAACCTCACAGTGTATAACTTATTTATATCAGTCCCAGCTGTCATACCTCGTTTTTTAAAAGTTAACATTGTAAATTCTATTAAGTATAAGAAGCTAGGTTCTGTGTATTTGAGAAACTTTCAAAATATTATGACAGTTTTTAAATTTAAAAACATATATTGGTCTAGATAAGGAAAGGACAGACTTTAGTGAGATGTAACGTTATTTATTAATTTCTTCTTATTGAAAATGTTTCCTCCAGCTCTTCCCTCTTATCAATAACACTATAATGTACATCTGGTTACAAATTGTGTTTTCCTTTTTTTATTGTTTTCTTGGGATTGGTTCTATAGAAATGAGTTTATGAGGTTAGAAGGTATTAATCTTTACAGCAGCTTTTTATACATTTTTGCTAAATTGTTTTACAAAACAAAAAAAATTGCTACTTTTCATTGCCACTGTGAAGCAACCATTTTTACCAGACTTTGCTTTTTGATGCCAGTTCCATGAATATGTTTCATTGTATGACGTGCTATCTTATACCCGTTTGAAAAATATCTACCCCATGTTTCCCCGAAAATAAGACATCCTCCGAAAATAAGACCTAGTGCATGAAAAGATAAGAAAGCCCCTGAAAATAAGACCTAGCGAAACACTGTCTTATTTTCGGGGAAACAGGGTAGTACTGCCTTAAATGTGAGCCTCTGGCCTGGAGAGGGGAAGCAGGTGGATGGATAGGGGAGGAGCATATAAGCAAACATAGGTCTTATTGTCAGGGTTCCAGGTCTCCCGTTCAGTGATGAATTTCAGGCATCCTTTGTATTATTAAAAGTAAACAAATGAAATAAAGAGAGGGAATAAAAGAACTTGAGCCCAGTCTGGTAAGGCTAGCAGTTAAAGTCTCCTCTAGGTGTGAGATTGAGGTAGATAGGTAGGAAGGTCTGCCAAATCATGCCCGTTTTGTCACACTGGAGTTTAGTTGAGTTTCCATGGGAAACATTTTCAACTTTGTGGCCTTAAAATCAGGTACAGGGAAAGACAAGGCTGTATGTTGGATTCTTGAGACAGGGTTGATTTCAGCCATATAATTACTACTAGTGGCCTGGTGCATGGATTCATGTACGTTGAAAGGAAATTAATTAGAAGAAATATTTTAATATTGCTATTTGTCCTTTCTGTATAATAGAAGTGTCAACCAAATTCATGATCGATAATAACAGATCTAAACACATGCATGCGATTGGCACCAGCAAGAGCTTTTTATGTATTGTGCTTGCATGAGTCAATGCACAAAATTCATGGATGCAGGAGGGGTGTCCCTTAGCCTGGCCTGTGCCTCCCACAATTCAGGACCCCTCAAGGGGGATATAGGACTGCCGGTTTAGGCCTGATCAACAGTCAGAAATCCCTCTCGCAATCCAGGACCCCTTGCTCCTAACCTCCTGCCTGCTCACTCTTTACAGCTTGGCTTGCTGCTCCTTATCACTGCTGCATAGGTGGGAGAGGCCACTGCTGCTGCACTCGCCAGCTGTGAGCCAGGCTTCTGGCTGAGTGTCACTCCAGCTGCAGGAGCCCACTGATCACCAGGGTGCAGCTCCTGCATTGAGTGTCTGCCTCCTGGTGGTCAGTGTTTGTCATAGTGACCTTTGGTCATTCCACCAGAGGGTCTCGGGGCTTTTATAGATATAGATTGCCAGTGCACATCATTGTACTGGCTGGTCGGATGGACGGATAATTAGCCTTTTATATATATTGATAATCTGGTGATAGTATTTATATACAGTGACTTGCTGATAATAGTCTTTTCCTATAACTTAGGGGCCCAGAAGAAACTTTTATTTATAACCATTGCATTGTTATTGATTTATTAGTGAATGTTAATATTACTAATTTGAAAGTAAAATACATTTTGAACATTTGGCAATGATTATTAGTGGTATGATTTTGAAAGAGCAAAATAACATTAATGAAAATGTAATTGTAGGGTGTCATGCCTACTGTACCAAACATGAATTTGAAATCAGATTTTATTGTATTTATAATTATATTTTATATGCACTACACTGTTACATTTTTATACTTTGCCATGCTAAATCTTCAGATTTAGATAGACTCTTTTTTTCAGGTTCATTGCCAAGTTGCAATAGAAACCCAATTATCTCTTGTTTAACAGTTAAGGTTATAGCTAAGGTTGCTTTTTAAATCTTCAAATGGCAATAGGGTACAAAAGGTTGCAAATTGTATAAATTTTTAAAACTGAATCTAAGTTGTAACTTTAGCTCATGACTTATTCTATAGTACTGAGTAAATCCAATTGTAAACTGTTTCTGCCGTGATTTTTTTCCTTTTTAAAAATACTTTTATTAAGATTCAAAACCTTGACTTTTTTTCAATCTTTCACCTAGAATTAAAGACTCTTGTTTTGAATATCTTTATATTTATTCCTTTATTACCTTTCCCGCTGCCATCTCCTTAGTCTAGACACCAACCATTTCACCCAAAGGCTAATTAATCATTACCCTTAATTGGTCTCTTGCTTTAGTTTTTCTCCAGAGACATTGCAGTGAATAGCAGAAGGGTCCTAGTTCTGCTCCCTACTCATCCTATGACCTTGAGCAGTTTGGTTAGCCAAAACAGGATTTCTGAAATGGAATATGACAGATTTTTATATTTTTCTGGTTTACTGTAGTTCTCTATTAATAAAGAGTAATTTACTGAGTTAAAATTTTCATAATATAAAATGAATCATAATTGTTCAGTCATAATTGTATCACTCCGAAGTAAAACCTCTTCCTATTATGCAGCTTTCTCTTCACTCCCCTTACCATCAGACCTGGCAACCACCAGTCAGCCCTCTTTCTCTATGACCTATCTATTC